TCAACAGCTATGGGGAATAACACAAATGCAGGCTGGAAACCAGCCAAGTGACACCAGCCCACTGAGGCCACCACTGCCACATCCATGGGGACACACACCCAGGCTCACAAGGAGCTGGTGTGTCCACACACAACCCATCCCAGGGCAGCCTGGAGCCCTGGCCCCATGCCTGCAGGTTTTAGTGAGCATGCTGATAAAGGGGCTGATGGCCCTAAGGTATCTTCTAGCAATTGGGAGGAGGCTCAGCACCAGGTCACAGGCTCCCCTAAGATGGAAACCCCACTGGAGACACCTGTGATGGCAGAACAGCAGCCCAGACCAGCAGAGTGAGCAGTGCTCCCTCTGCCACGCCGCTCCTCCGACTCACCAGCAAACTTGACATGGAACTTGTTCTCAGGCTTTAGGATCTGAACATAGAGAGGACAGTTTGGAGCAAAGTCTTTCACAGCCCAGGCTCTCAGGATGGTCTGGTGATCCTAGAGGAGCAGAACAAGAGCTACTTGTCTGATATCTTATTTTCCCCAGCATTTCTACACCAGGATGATCTGCAAAGCACCCAGCCACCATGGCGATGTACAGCAAGAGCTCCTCCAACACCCACTGCTAAGGAGAGACAACCTCCCACCCTTGCTCCCCAAACCCAGCACCGATGGGTGCACCTTGCCACGCAGAGGCAAGATGCAGCAACCACCCTGGTCCCTTCTGGCCAAAGAAAAGGCCAGTCTGTGCCCAGGCCATGCCCCAGGCCTGGCTTACCGCCGCCGTGCGGTCCACCTCGTTTCGGCTGCTGAGAATGAAGCAGGCTTCACCATTGTCCATCCTGCAACCAGAGAGCAGTGACCTCATGAACTGCATGGGCCAGCAAAGCTGGGCATCTGCCTGGGCCAGCCGGGGTGCTGCCAGCCCCCCTGAGACCCCAGTGAAGGCATGCAGGGCAGGGACACCCATCACCATGGGCTCCAAGGCCCGTGGGCAGCTCGGCAGGATGAGCCTCGCCGGGGATGTCCCTCTGCTCACTTGGCTCTCATGAGGTCCTGGTCCTTCAGTGCAGAGCCCTGGAGGTAGATCACTCGCTGGGACCACAGGGGGATCTGCAGGACCCGCCGCACCTGGATGTCCATCTCCGTTGGGCAGAGTATCACCACGTAGTAATCCTGAAGGAGAGAGGGGGGCTCGCGTGGGCTGGTGGCCACCCACCTGCCACAGAGAGCCCAGACACAGGGTTTTGCTGCCTGAGCAAACAGCTCCTCTGGGGCTTCTGATATTTGCTGCCATGTGTGACACCCCCTGCTCCTACTCCAGAGTCCTGCAAGGGTCTTGGGAAACACATCAGCAGCTTCCCCACCCTGTTCTGCATAGTAAAGCCAACCCCACAGCTGGCTATGGAACCAGGAAAGAGCTGCACGCCCATGGCAAAGCAGAGCCTCTTGCAGCTACTGTGGTGAGGAGGATTTTAAGGCTTGAACGTGTGGAGCCAAGGCTGGGTGATAGCAATGAAGCATTGAGTGTTGGAATGAGATGCAAATCTGAAACACTTCTGTGATGCTCTCGTTCCTGAGGAGCAGGAAAGGCACCAGCATTTGCAAGAAGATCACTTATTATGTGCGGACAGGATTCTAGGATGTTCCAGTAATAGCTGGTAAATCCCACTGAGGATAAGCAACTACATGTTCTGTTCCTCAGATTCTTCATTCAGCAGAGACATCCCTACACTTAAAGAAGTCCCTCTGGTCCCCCTCCATGAGCCTACATGTGCTGTAACAGGCCAGAAAACAGGGTGGAGATGACAGAGTGAGGTGGCTGCAGGGTACCACTCATCACCTCTCCTTGCCCAGTGCAGCACGTGCTTCCCAGTGCTGGGCTGATGGTTTTACCCTATTCTTTGCCACATCCACTGCAGCAGGGCAGGGCACTCGCCAGCAGCAGCAACCTGGCCATGCCCAGCAAGGGCGAGTGGTGACCAACGACATGAAAACACGCCTGGTCCTCACCTGCAGGCGTGGGTGGGCATAAAACTCATTGAGAAAGTCCATGAGGAGATCGATCTTGAGGGAACTGACACAGAGGACAACATGTTTCTCTGTCTGGGCGCGGTGTCGGCTGTAATTGCCTCCCGACTTCTGCCGCTCCATCCACAGGTAGACGAGCTCCTCGAACTGCAAACGAAGGCAGAGAGCTGACGTCCCCCTCGGCAGGCTGCCCGGGTGCAGGCCCTGCATCCCTCTCCATCCTCAGCTCCACGGGTCTAACCTGGAGGGGCAGCACCACCAGGGCGACGCAGATCATGATCACCACCAGGAGCTGGGAAGGCCAGATCTTTGGTGTCACGTCTCCGTAGCCCACCGTGGAGAAGGTGACAATGCAGAAATAGAAGGACTTGAAGAGGGAGAGCTTCTCGCCTGCTCTTTCTAAGTGCTGGATGCCACAGGTCCTGAAGGGAGGAAACGCATCACAGCGAGTGCTTCCCTGCCTGGGAGACAGGTACTGCCCACGGCGCCTGCTGGAGTCAGTGGGGAACCCCAGAAGGTGACTTAGACCCGTGGCCATGGAGGAAATCTGCCTGTAACACACTGTCAGCATCAGCAGTGGATTTATGCCACCGCCAGAAACGATTCAGCTAATGGTGTTTGGAGATGGAGTCAGTCTGCTGTGCTGCTCAGCATGGAGAAGTCTGGGTCCCGGGTGACTGCTCAGGAGAAGACCACGCCATGGACAATAGGTTGGGCAGCAGCTGGGGGCTGCCCTGGCATTGTAGAGAGACAAACTGTGGCAGCAACACGTCCAGGGCCACAGCAGGCGGGAGGTGCCACGGGCAGGGAGCACTGCTGAGCCCCCAAATTGCCTTACTCATTCACATCAGAGGACTGTCTTTATTGCCAAAGACTCATGAGCCTAAAAGCTTCATTTCCTGTCTGTTGGGCAACTTAATGGCATTATAGGCTCCAAAGCCAGAGTGAGGGAGCCAGAGGAAGATTCAAGAAGCCTAATTTAAAGCTAAGTACCCAGTGATGGGAACTGACTCCTTCATAAAGAGGTGCCCTTGTTGCTGGTGATGCACTGGCAAAGGGTTAATTAGCAGGAGCCCCAGCACACAAAGGAGCCATGGTACCTTGGGGGGAGGATGCTGGTGAGGGCAGGGGGTCCTGGTGAAGGAGCCATCACACAGGTCTGAGCCCGTGTCCCCGTGGGAAGCTGCTGTCCCTGCCCAGCACTCACAGCCCTGCTCTGAGACCTGTGTGCCTGCATCACCCTTCTCCCTCCAACATCACCCTCAAGCTCACCCATGCACCTTAAAACTTTCTGTTCCATCATAGAATTAGGGAGAATACTTAGTTTCTAAAATAGGAATTGATCTTCCCAGTGTGCTGGGGAATGCAGCAAGGCAGGGAGGACCCCAGCGCCAGGGGCTGGTGGTGCAGGAGGTCCTTTCAGAGCCCACAGACAGGAGGGGACACCTGGGGCACACTCCTCACCATGGCTCCCCCAGTTCCAAAACTCAGCCCGAGGAACTGGGATTTGTCCCATTAGTGAATGAAAGGTGCCAGTGGGAGCTCAGTCATCAGCAGCCCTGAACAGTTATGCTTTCCTCAGCGTGCACAAACCTCTCAGGCTGAAAAAATGAAGTTAGAAGACACCACTTAAAGGCAGAACCTTCTCCAGCTTCCCAGATCTCCACGTTTGGTCCTGGCACTGCTGTCCCTCCACAGCTGGGAAGGTCCCACTCCACTTCCCCTTCCCACTCACCCTGTGAGAGCCCAGCTCCACCAGTCACCCCTGGGACTTTGCAAAGCTGGTTTCCCCCCATGATGAAGGTGGTTTAGTGCAATGAAGAGCAGCACTCACCCCGTGAAAACGAGACACAGAAGGGTGCAGATCAGAATGAGGACCTGGTTAAACATGGCAGACTGGGTCCTTTGTATGGCTCGGTGCAGGTCATTCTGGGGAGAGAGGGGAGAGGGCTCTGACCAGCTCAGAGGGCAAAGTACTCTGCCAAGTACCAGCTGCTGCCCTGCTGGCTCCAGCAATGCCTCCCTAGGTGAGGGTCAGGCCAGAATTTGGCTCTTGAAAAGGGATGTGCATTTCTGTGAGCAGGTCTGGGCCTTGCTGCTGAGAGAGACAGCTCCAATGGGCATGTGGGAATGGCTGGAATACCTCACCCTGCTGAAACACCAGATCCTGGGGACAGCCTCTGGCTCTCCCTGGCAACGCAGAGCCAAGAGAGTCAACCAAAGATACTCAGATACCAAATGGCTCCTGCTCAGCTCCACAGCCCAGCATCATCAGCTGGCAAAACCTCATCTCCCACCATCCCTGGTACAGCTGCACACACAGAACACCAAAATCCTGCCAGGGAGCTGGCAGCAGGCGAGGGCCCCCCTCCCAGCCATGCCACCCTCAGCACCCCCAGGGCAGACAGACCCAGGGCTAAAGGGGGGGGATGTGTCAGGTCACTCACAATCATGTTCTCCAGGGCGTATTTGGCAAGCCAGCAGTTCAAAAACACAGGAATGAACAAATTCCGCAGAGGAGGCCAGAATATCTACCAAAGGAAGAGTTATTAATAGAAAAATCCATGCTCTTTGTCAGAAAAAGGCTCTGAGTTCCAGCCTCACCGTGATAATAAACGGCACCGTGTTGATCATCTCAAGGATGAACGAAATGCGAAAAATCTGTTCCCAGATGTTCCCCTGAGGAATCAAAACCAAATAATAATTAAAATAAGCTTCAAAATCTGCCAAAAGACAATTAAAAAGCTCCCACTCTGCCACAGACCCTGCTTAGACGGGGAAGCAGGGCAGAGCATCCAGAGAGATGCTCCGGCTGGCTGGGAGAGATGCGGTGCTGGCATCAGGCACGCTGGGGTGGGCAACACCTTCCCAAACTGCTCAGGCCTTTCTGCAGCCACGACGTCCCTCTGTCCCACTGCTGCTGCCCAAAGCAGGGGGACAAAACACTTCGTGCAAGGACAGAGCATGAGAATGACTGATACAGATGGCTGGCACTCAAACCAGGAGGGTGACGCAGGGGCTGAGTGTCTTCTGCCAACTGTCCCAGGGACCCCAAGAAGATGCCATTTGTTAAGGTTACTTTTCTCAGCTATTTTAAGGGGCTTTAGTCCAAAGGAGTCAGTCTGTGTCTCTCCCTGTCTGGCTTGGAGCAGCTCCTGCCACCTTCGGAGGCAGCAGACCTCAGCACAAGTGGGAGACAACGTGCCAGGTCCTCAACACTTGGCATGCACCAGTCTGGCCCTCCAGAAAACCAGCAAGCCTTTAGAAAACAGGGCTGATTTTAAAGGAAAAGGGAAAAAGAACTGATCCCCTGGCTCTACTCTGCCAAATGTTTATCCAGCAGCCCAAGGGGGAATGAGAAAGGAAAACAGCCAGAGCTAGCAGACATCACCGAGACGAAAGTCCTCTCGGGATGCTTCGGTTTCAGACAGCTCAGTGAAGGAGAAACAAATTCATGCCAGGGGTCAGAACCAGGCTGCACATCACTGTCCACCGCCCGCCCCATGGCACTTACCTTGTAGCTGAGATAGATGAGCAGCATGGTCTCCAGAAAGCTGATCAGAGCTATGCTGACCTGCAGAGACAGCCAGGCAAAGGCCACTGAGGGCTGGCTCGATGCATCGCCAGGCGATCAGCTCTGCCAAGCCCTCCCTGCCCTCTGCCACGAGCAGCCCCTGGCTACTGCACACGAGGCCTCTTTGCTCTCCTTGCCCCCGTTTGGGTGAGAGGGGTGAGTGCCTGCCAGCACCAGGGAGCCCTGAGCAGAAGCTGGCTCAACCCCCCTGCCCGTGGTTGCCCCCCAGGCAGCTGCCCCGGCTGAACAACAGCCCGGTACTGGCACAGCCACAGCCAGGAGCTGAGCCAGCCCCATGGTTTACCTTCCTACAGCTTTCCCTCTCCTACTGGCCCCTGGGATCTTCACCCAGGGCTGCTCCCAGCAGAAGCCCAGCTCATTTTCTGCTCCCCTAGGAGAACCCCTTGCCCCTCGCTGTAGTGGGCAGAGGATGCCCGGAGACCCGCTGGCAGCAGAACTCAAACCCCAGCCCCTGCTGGGCTCCTGCCCAACCCTGGCCAAGGTCTGGGCACTCACCTGCACAGCCCACAGTGGCATTTTTCTATCCACCCAGAAGATGTGTGACCTGCAAAGAAAATTCAAAATGGATCTAGACTGCAGCCCAACTAGCAATGCCTCTACCCCCAGCTGAATGCCAGCCTGAGGCCATCACTGAGGCCAGACCCAGCACTGCACTGCTACTGCTGTTCCTTGCAGCAACTTGTTCAAGTACTGGGAATAAACCATTCCCAAGGGTGCAGCCACAGGCACTGTCCAACTGATTTGATCCTGGGATGCTCCCACACATCCCTCAAGCAGCCCCGTGCACAGGGGCAGCTCCCAGCACCAGCCCCATCCATCACCGTGTGCCCACGTCCCAGCAGAGCCAGACCCCAGCACTGGAGCAAGTCTCAACTCACCAGTTTATCTTGGTGGACTGGTTGAAGTTTGTGTAATTCTGCTTCTCGCATTCCCAGCTAGAAGAAAAGAAAGACAAATCTGGGGTGAGCAGTGAGCAGGGGGGAGGGAGGGAAGGGGGTCCAGTGTGGGCTCCCCAGGTTCACGGGGTACCCTCACCACTGTGTCCTGGTGCTGGGGGAGGCTCCCAGACAACAGTCCTGGGGGTCTCAACAGACACTGGTCCCTATAGCCAAGGCTTTCCACAGTAGCCTATCCCACCCAGGCAGTTTTGGACATTTATTACTGAAGAATAAGACCCCTCAGGTGCTTCAGCCCATACCAGAGATGCTGTAAAACACTGATACCTGCTGGAGTGCTGGAGATGGGAATCTCCAGGTTACAATTAGCAAAAGCTGCTGGGACAAGGCCAGCTGGGCCCCAAACAGCCAGCCAGGCAGGCAGCACAGAAGCCAAACTCTCCCCTTGCCTTGCTGAGAGAGATACATGCCCACTGGCCAGTGTTTATTTTGCCACACCCCCTCGAGGAAGTGGATGTCCCTGAGCCACGTGAAGCCCTTTCAGGATGTGTGTCTGTCATGCTTAATTCTCACAGGTTTGAAACCACTTTTGGAGCACACAGATGCACTTGGTATTCTGCAGCCTTTCCAAAGAGAAAATCAAACTGCTGATTCTCCTAGCTTTGGAAGAAATAAAGAAACCAAAAAATCCCCAACACCACCCATGAGCTAAACAAAGCAAGGACATATTAAAAATAGGCTTCTACTGAAACTCAGAGCAAAGCTGATACATGTAATCATCTGTCACCTCGGGGATCTAAATGGCAAAACATATTTTGTTCCCAAATGCTTAGATGGGATTTAGCCTAAGTGTCCTCAGGGGCATCAGGCTTCAGAAGATACTTGCACGGTGATGTACTGAAACCACGAGCTCCTGCCTGTGTCTGAAGGCCACGCTGCACCCCTGACCCTTAGAACCAGGCATCATTTGGGAATGACCCTGACCCTGAATTTCTCCAGCACCTTTTCCCCGTGTGCTGTGCAGGGCTGGCGGATGCCCACAGGGCTTGAGCAGGTAGCAAAGCCCACCAGGGGCAGCAAGTTTTGCTGCAGTGTGAAGGAGAAAACCCATCTGTGGTGAGCAAACACATCCATTGTGCACCTCCAGTGCCACCACAGCCCGCTGAGGGCAGCACGGGGGGGCACCAGTGGCACTCACCAGCCTATGCCCTCCTCCGGGTTGTCGAGCAGGACGCGGACGATGTACAGGAGGCAGGTGAGCAGCTTCAGGGAGAAGTTGAAGAGCCGGATCCTCAGGCCTGTGGCAGAGGGGAGCACGGCGTGGGTCGGGCAGCACCCCCCCCAAGGGGCACCTCCAGCACAGCCCCTTTCACTGCAGGGCCCCACGAGCCCCGGGAGAGCTGCAGGAGCCCCTGGGCAGCACACAAACATCACTCACACTGCACCCAGGGCTCCACGTGCCCTACCCCGTGTCAGAGATGTAGGAGACTAATCTAGCAATAACAATGATGAGTCAGCTCCTTGCTGACCCCAGCTAATGGGAGAGCCCAATGAGGAGCTGCTGGAGGATCTCCCCCTCATTAGCAAGCGGTCATTAAGCAGCATCGGGCAGGCAGGGCCAGGGCCCCGCTCACCACGCTGCAAGCAGCTTGCAGGAGAGCAAAAACTGCTGCTGTATCCACTCGCCCTCCCCAGCCAGTTCATGGGGTTATTACTCAAATTACAAGTGAGAAATTCATCACATTTTCATTAAAAACTTCCCCGTGGGCACCCTGTTGCGCCGCGCTCCAGCTTTTTAACGAGGCGACTGGATGCAGGGAGGAAAAGAAAACTGTGAATTTATAAATTAACGAGCAGACTCCCTCCAGACAGCTAATGACGTCTCAGAGAAAGAAAATAAAAACACCATTAGTCAAGTGGAGGCGAATCCAGGCGGCTGAAGCAGAGGTGGGCAGCTCAGAGCTGACCTCCCCGTGGGCACGAGCAGCGGCGCTGGCTCTGTGATGGGGACGTTTGCTCCCTGACCCTCCCTGGGGCAGCTCCCAACACCCACCCTGCTCCCAGCCCTTTGGTCCGAGCTGGTTCCTGTGGTGTTTGTCCCCAGTGAGCAAAGGTGGCAGGCAGCATCCCCTCCTCCCCGTGCAACCACGGCCCCCCAGAGCGAGTTGACCAACACCCAACAGAAAGACCAAAGGGCAGCAGCAAGGGGGGCTGGGCAGCCAGCTGGGGACACAGGGGGAGCTGCCACCAGCAGATGGCAATGGCTTCTCGTCCCACGAGGACGGAGCAGGGCTCCTCAGCTCGGGCAGGGTCTGCTCTCTCCCAGCAGAGGCTCACTCCACGCACGGAGCACTCACTGGATCGCTGGTTTTTGATGAAGAAGAGTTTCAGCCGCTCCTTGAAGGTGTTTTCATTCACGTAGAACTCGACCTGGACCCTGCAGGGAAAGCATCCAGAGCAGTCCATCAGCGAGGTGGCAGCTCAGACCTGGAGTCCCCCAGGAGCCTCGTGCCCCAGTCCCAGCTAGCTGACCTCCCCAGAGCAGCCCACAGCAGACCCCAGGCTCAGCCCTGGGTTCCCACAATACCAAACCACCAGCACCACCAGCCATGAGCACCAAGATGTCACCACAGCTACCACAACAGTGAGTGTGACCTGTGGGGCCAGCTCTGCCTTGGGTTGAGGGCTTTGCTTTCGTTCACAAACAACCAGCTGACATCTGACTTGCAAACTTCTCCTCTCCCGCACACTTTACAACATCCAAAGCCTCTCAGTGGCCTTGGAGCAATCTCCCCCAGCAATGTTTTGTCTGCTCCAACCCCTCATGATTGCAGCAGAGCAAGAGCTGGCAAGGGCAACATCCCTGGTAGAGCCATGCCCTGCTCTGCCCGAGCAGGAGCAACATTTAGCATCAAAGCTGTTAAAAACCAAATCCAATCTAAAAGGAGAAAAATTCCCTTTGTTGCTAAGATACCACATTTGGCCATTCCAGAAAAAAAAACAGGAGCTGCCAACCAACTCCCAGCATCACTTGACATTCAGAGCCCCTGGTGGCTGGTGGCATGGGGACAAGGTGCCACGGCAGACAGCCACCCCCCCAAAACTGGCAGGGAGGAGCTGCAGGTGAACCTGAAAAGGTCCCACCCACCACTGTGACCACCATGGGCTCTTCTTGCCTTCAGCTGCTCCAACCTCCCCCAGTGACCCCCATCCCCACGTGCAGGGTGGATGCCCACGACCGTGTGGACAGGGTGAAGTCTCACCAAGGCTGGAGGTTCCACCCCATGGATGTCAGTGGGATCTGGACCAAGCCCACCCAGATTAAGGGTGTGTAGACAACCGTGGCCCCAGCTCAGCTCACCTGCCACCCAACCCTCCCACGACTCCAGGAACACCCACAGCCCTTTGGCTCTGGGCAGGGCCATAAATTACATTCCTGCCTGCTGAGTGCAGGTGAGAAGGGACCTTGTCCTGATGCCTGGCTTCAGACTGAGCAAGACAAAGCCTGTTCATTACTCTTACAGCTGATTCATTGCTCTTACAGCCGATAATGGAGTTAAGAGCAATGAATTAGCCATTTCCCCTCTTTCACTGTATTCAACCAGTCTCTTAAGTAAGTGCTACAATTATTACTATTTATCAAACTGCTTGGAAGAGGTCATCAAGATGTCATTAATCAGGCGTATTACCAAGGCAAGGGGTAGTCTGAGGTGAGCAAATCCACCGTGCCTGTCACTAAAGCCACCACCCCATTTTAACTGGGCTGTGCAACCCCTGAGCAGAGGTGGGGCCAGCTCCAGCCAAGTGTGCTGCCTGGCACACACCACCCAGCCCTGATTTACTGGGAGGCAGCTGCTCCTCACTCTGACAGCACGGGGACAAACAAATATTTACTGAGCCTTAATGCTGAGCTGATTGGGCAGCAAGTTAGGAAGGGGTTTTATGAGCCCCTCATGGCTCAGGGGTTCCTCATCCTGGTACCCCCCAGCACCCTCTGGTACTTCAGAGCTGGCCTGACCACTCGTGGGGGAAAAGCCTGGTGTGTAATAAGCATGGTACACCCTTGGGAGCTCCTCAAGGCTTCTTGTAGACTCTCTTAGCAGGCTGAAAAGTCAGATTTTTGATTTACAGGGTTCTTATGTACAAAAAGCAAATGCACAGGGAGAAACCCACCACCTCAGGCACGATAGCTGGGATAAAACTTTATACAGGCTATCAAACTTTGCCTCCTTCTGGCATAAGCTCTCTGGCTTAGCCTCCCTTGGTGTGAAGCAGTGGAACCCACCAGCAGCCTGGGCTGGTGGCTGGCAGGGACTGGGTGACAGGCTGGGTGTGGCTGATCCATCCTTCAGCATCCCCCTAATGCTGCTGGAGCAGCACAGCCTGGACCTGCTGCAGCCCAGGGACTGGGTGAGATGCACCCACCTGACCCCACAGCTCCAGAGCTGCTGTGGGGGGAGCCGAGGGGCTCCACGTTGTGGGGTCACCTTGTCCCCATCAGCAGTGCTGGAGAGGAAAGGAGCCAGGAGCTTTAGCTGGGGAGCAAACGCTGAGCTCCTGCTGCCCACCCGTGGGCTCATTCTCTGCAGACCCTGTGCTCTGCCAGGGTCCCTGGGCAGGATGCCACACCCTGAGCAGCTCCGTGACAGAGGTGACAATAGCCAACAGCCTCGGAGGGGCAGTCCCTGGTCTCCTTTGGCATTGGTGCCAGCTGCAGTGCCAAGGGAAGGGTGCCCGGGCAGGGCTGCCAGCGCCCAGACGCTCCACGGCATCAATGAGGAAGATGCTGACGCCCAAATGCACCTGTGGTGGGAGCCGTGGGGTGTCACCAGGAACAGACCTCACCCCAAATGCCCCCAGCCAGCAGTGGGCAACCCCAGCACACTCGAGAAGGGAGTGGGGAGGCAGGGGGGTGGCCACGGACACTGGTGGGTGACCACAGACCCTGCTGCGGGCACGCTGAGTGCTGGGGAGGGAGCAGGAGAATTGCTGAGTGCTGGCACAAGCAGCATCGTGATGTCTTGGGAGCAAGGAGCCATCAGTGCAGAGTTTGGTAAGCACAGCTTCAACGTGAGCTAAACTGAATTGCTTCCAAAGGCAGACTTGGCAAATAATTTATCTGTGTCGGGGCATAAATCAGCTGCCACAACTGCTCATGACACTGCACCACACAAGCTAATTGCTCCTTCTCCTTATTAAAAATGCCAAGGAAATGCTAGGAACTGGCCTTCAGCTCCACCTTGAGCGCTGGGCACCCCATTCATCAGAGTCCCTGAGGATTCAGCACACTGAGGAGAGGGAGACGTCAGGGAGCACGATTCCTCTCCCAGACATTCGCCTCCATACCCAGGAAACAAACAGCAATATAAATCTCTGTCGCCAGACAGATGGTTTGCTGATCTATAGCATTGCAGCCCACCTCAAGACTACAAATATAAATGCTGATGGATAAAAAACCTGAATGATTAGAAGATATCTAACTTTTTATGGCAAAGTAGCCCATGAATTCATCCGTCGTAAGAACTGCAGGGAGAAGAAACACTTTGAAAGCAACAGATGCAGGTCTGGGGTGGGGGAAGAGGGCATTTATCACTGCAAAGAGATGTAGAAATCAAAGTATGTAGAGAGAATATCTTCCTGTGCAGACATCCTGCCCCTGCTGCTAACAGGGTTGAGTCCCTTGAGCTGTACAGGACCCTGCAGCCACTATCCCACCAATCCCTGGCACCCATCACGGGGTGAGCACCCCTGGGGCTGGTCTGCAGGACGAGGGAGGGCAGAGCAAGGGCTCGGCACGATGGGGACCAGGGTGCTGCCACAGCCTGCTCCAGCACCAGTCAACCCAACAGCCCAGAGCCACCCCAACCCAGCACCCCAGAGCTGACCCACGGCTGAACGAGAGATGGCTTTTACCAGGCAGCAGACACCCTCACAAAGTATCAAAGCTCCTACTCCGTTTCCAGCTGAGGGAAGGAGATTATGTCATCTAAAACTTACCCTTTAATTTTGTTGTCAAGGAGTTAACTTGAAAGAACAATCAAGCTAAGCTCTGGCTGCACTACCACCCCAAAACACACATCCCAACGGGCTCTGCCTTCTGCAGCTCAGCCAGGTTGGTCCATTCAAACTGCTCCCTCACAATGGCATGATTGAGCACCCCTCCTGAACTGCTGAGCACCCCTCCTGACTGCCAAGCACCCCTCCTGACTGCTGAGTACCCCTCCTGACTGCCAAGCACCCCTCCTGACTGCCAAGCCCCTCTCCTGACAGCCAGGCAGCATGGTGCCAGCCCAGCTCAGGCAGCACCCAAGGGTGCAGGCAGCAGATGCTCTGTGGGAAGGGAGCAGGCAGCACATGGCTCCCCTGCCTCACCCCAGCTGAATCTCCCTGGCCGTGCAGATAATCATCTCAGTACAAGTTTAGTGACAAGCCCTTTGCTTGGAAGTGTAATTACTGCTATTATGCACTTCATAATGCCTGAGCAATTTCATTTTCTTTCCTCGGTTATTTATTGTACTTTATTAATCTAAGATTAGAAGCAATTTGTTCTAAGATGATAAGCTCCCCAAAAAGACACAATAGTTTGTGCAGGAAAGGGCAGGTTTCAAGACCAGGATGAGCACAGCCCAGCTCACCAGCATTAAAATAGACACTGAGGAGCACAGCCCCAGCTCCACACTTGTACCTTCCCCTGGGAGGAGGGATAAACACGCTCCCCTTAAAGACAAGTAAACCCCAAAAACCAGCAACCCACGTGCAGCCCCACACCGGGGCAGCAGGGACAGGGGGGTGAAGATGTACCCCCGAGCTGTGTGTCCCCAGCAGACTTACATGGGCAGGCAGGCACAGGCGGGTCCCCTCCAGTCCCTGCAGCATGTGACAGCTGCTGGGAACAGCCTGAAAACTGAGATGGCTCCAAAATCTTCCAGCCAGCCAAGGGAGTGAGCTGCTAGCCCTGCGCGGGACGGTGCCCAGAGCTGCCCTGCTGCTCTCCAAAGAAGGCCTTGGGTGTGCCCAGGATGCTTTTGCTCTATTTTATAATAGATATCTCGTGCTGTGAGAAGGGTATCTTCAAATAAATATGGCTCTTGAAAGACATGAAAAAGTCCCAGCACCTCTCCACAGCTCCAGTCCTTGCTCTCACACTCTGGCTGGGTGGGAAATGCAGCTCTTCTTCCAGGAAAATTCTCAAGAAACTTCCCCCATCATGTGGTGGGATGCAAATGAGAATCTTCAGAGATTTTTGGAAAAAAAAAACAAAACACAAAACCAACCAACCAACCAACAAAAACCAAACAAATGAACAAAAAAAAAACCAACACAAAACCAACCCAAAATCTCTGCAATCTGTTGGCAGCTAACACCCCCCTTGCCAAGATGGCATAACCTCAGAGACCCCACATCATCCCCCTGCTCTGGCTCCACACCCTCCCTGCAAGGAGGTCCCACAAGGGTCAGATACATCAGAAAAGTGGCTGTGACCAAGTCTGGAATCAAAGGGAAG